CTTGGTGGAACACAACACCCTTCCGATCATTCATAGGAATTTAGGGTCTTCTCCAAATTTTATATTCCTATATCCGTTGGAAATCTGAATTATTGCTCTTCAAAGCCATATTAATGTTTTTATTTAATGCCCCCACAAGGAATAAATAAACAAACACTCCTAATAGATTTTTATTTTTATCTCGATTTGTAGTTTGTATACGAAGGTCCTTTTTATGTCATTTTGTGTAGTTTAAATTTCATGTAGATAACTAAAGTTGTATTGAAATTATAAATATAAGTATTATAGTTTCGGTATACTTAATAATGTCTTCCTGTTAAAAGATATTGCATTTAGGAGTAGAATAATCTATTACATTTTTTTTCCTGGCTTTTATATTAACTTTATTATTTTTTAAAGGCATTTGGTTGTTCTTACATTTTATTTTTTGAAATAATTTATAATACCCTATGACCGGGGCATTATTTTGTCTTTATTACTTTCATTTTGTCTATTATGTTTAATGGAATATTGTAATCGACCAAGGAAAAAATATAAATTCCTTCCTTACATAATACATAGTAACTACTTATTTCCATATTGTTTAACTATTTCTTCACTAAATTTTCTGAGAATTTTTCGGACGGGTCAAATAGTCGGTTTTTAATAAGAAAACAGTGAGCGTTCGGTTTTGTTGGTCTGACCTATTGTTCAAATAAATTAATATAATTCATTTTTTTTATCGGACATAATTAAAGTTTAAAATCGTCCTTCTTACGCCTACAACCTTCTCCAGTTCAAATCCTCAGTCCATTCCCTGTCCACAAGATCTCGACCTTCTGACCTTTACATGCCTTCTCACAGATCTGCCTCATTCCAAAATTCCTTTATTGTTCGCTCTGTCAATTTTTGGAATTCCCTACCTATCAAAATCCGACATTCCCCCTCCATATCCACATTCAAATCCCTCCTATTCCAATTCCTATCACAAAAACAGTCAGATACTTGCTAACCATTCGAGTGGATTTTAATAGAGAATTTGATACATTTTTATTTTTTAATTCTTTATTTTTTTCGGAAAAGTGTATACTGGTCTATAAGAGCAAATAAATAGCTTTAAGTGTCTTGTCATAGTATTAATGGTTTTGTGTATAGTTTAGTTTGTTTTGTATATAGAATTTTTACCTTATATTTTTTTTACATTATTTCTTTTTTTCGATTGATTTTATTTTGGCCAGATGTAATATTTTAATTTTGTTCTATTTTGTTATTCTCAAGGGACTGTGCCCCAGAATAAAGTTATTTTTCTTTCTTTCAAAGTTGTTTATTTTTTTCTAAAATAGGTAGGAAAGTCATGGATATATTTTCTATATCCTATCTATACTAAGCTGTGTAAGCCTTCGTTGAAACGCTAAGTGATAAAGTGAAGTTGATAGCACTGTACAATTCACGGGCTTGGTATTAATAATTCAACTTTTTGTATCCGAGTCCCGGCCTGCAGGTGATTTATGCATCACAGAGTTATTTATTTATTTATTTTATTGTTTTGTTTGTATTTTGTAAAAGGATGCAAAAGGCAATTTTTAACAGGAGTTTCCGGCTTTCCGACATCGAAATGAATCTCTCGACAACACGCTTTGAAGTTTGTAGTTGTTGGATTTTTTTTATCAAGCTTAAAAAGTGAATATCAGTTAACAGTCAGCTAACTTTCAACCTTGATTTCTATCCAATTTACATAATCATTTTCGCAATATTGATATGATTGTTTATTATACGTTTAATTCTAAGTCTCTTTTTCTAAGTCTCTTTAAGATAATCTATATAAATAAAATAAAGTTTTTGTCTATACATTGTATAGAATCAACCCGTTTTATATCTTTCCATTTCATACCTTGTAGACACCAAATCCACTTTTAAAAAAAATTTTCTATCTGCATGTCCGCATTGCAACGAAATTTTGTCAGGGGTAGGCTCAGCAATGGTTTATTGTAGACTTTTGAAATTGTATTAAGGTTTGCTTGACTTAGAACATAGGCTTCAAATGAAAACAAAATATTGAGTATAACCAAAGTAATGAATTCTTGAGTAATTTGTCTAGAGATCTCGGGTTAATGTTGATAATAAATTTTTATAATAAACATGTGTTTAGACATTATGTGGGGAGCGGGGTAGCTCAGTGGTAGGGCACTGAGCTTCCAATGCTAAGGTCCCGAGTTCGAACCCCGGCTCAAGGCAGAAAATTTATTTATCTGTTTCATTGGCCGTGGGGCGACCTTGGGTTAGGAGTCCCTCCTGGGGCACACCCAGCCTCTATAAAGTGGGTACCCTTAATTAAATAATTAATTAGGGGGGAAAACATGGCGCTTGAGCATGATCTCGGTCAAATCACCTCCTTGCACAACCGTGGACCTAGAAACAGTGGTTTCCCTAAATAGCACTGAACCCCAGACCCTTTTTTTTTTTTTTTTTTTTTTTTTTTTTTTTTTGAAAAAAAAATCCCAAAAATTTCACGTCCCCAGCAACAATATTCAGATCAAGTTCTAATTTTACATGGATGCGGGTGACTCAATGTCGAATGTTAAACTCAGCAAAGTTTAAAGAAGTGGAGAGACTACAACTCTTTTTGGTTAATTAATCGACTCCACAATCTCCTCGCTTCACCATAAATGAAATTTAAAAAAATAGCCGAATAACAAAGTTTTGTTATGACTATTGCGAAACCTTGACTTCCATAAGCCTTGCGATAAAAAAATTCAAAACAAACCCCCCCCCCCTCCTTACCGATCTAATTTTATGAAATTGTATTTGGACCCTTCCTCCATAAAACAAAATCCATCTCAAAAAAAGATTCTCAAATTTTAAGTATACAGTCGTCAACCACGGGTACATCAGCTAGCTAAACTATAAAAGAAAACTTGTATCTAGAGATTTATAGTAAATACTAAAAAAAAAAGTTAAGGTTTTGTATTTTTTGATGATTACAATGATTAATTATTGAAAATAATAAACAAAAAGTATTTAAAAATCGCGATATCTTTAGTAAAATTGCTCTGATTTCGATGATACTTTTCGTTTTTTCAGGAAATTTAAATACCTTTAGAGTTATTTAGCAATATTATTTTACCACGCCTCGTAACTTTTTTCCAGCTTTTTCGTTGAAATATGTTATATAGATACATTTAAGGGTTTCGAAAGAGAAGAATTTAGTCAAGTTTCATGACTTTCACATTCATTTAGGCTCAACAAGCTAAAATAAAACAGGTTTTTCAGCCGCCATATTGAAAGGAAAGGGCGGATAGTAATGTCGAGTCAGGAGGATCATCCTCGGGTGACCTCTGGCTTGAAAAAAATCGGTCCAGTAGTCTCGGAGAAAATGAGTGGAAGGCGAACGACAAATAGCAGACAGACAATTCTTTTTTATTCCAGTTTCGAGTTCTACGTATCATGAAACGTAAAACCTGCAATGGATGGTCTCTGGGATTGGGTTAAATTGCTAGGACACTCGTAGGCTCTATAAATGAATGATGTGAAAATTAGGCGCATTTAACATTTTTTTTACATTAAAGTCAGCTGGTGTAGACTAATTGAAGTGTTTTTGTACATGGATTAAAATATTTCAAAAAGTAAAAATCGGATCTTCATATTGTTAGCGAAGGAAATGTTTATCACTTCTTCCTCTCTATAAGAAGCTATTATTCAAAATTTTATTTTAACGCGACGCTGTTTTAAGGAGGCGAAAAAATGTCTAAAACCAAATGATAACGAGTTTTATGAAAGTTATGGATTATCTCAGAAACTAAAAATAGAACCTGCATACTATAAGCGAGGGACATGTTCAGCATTTTATCCTCTTTGTAAAGAGCAATTATTTATAATTTATATTTGATGTTATTAATCTTACCTTATTGATGTTTTCACTTCTATCGTATGGTCTAAATCAGAGATGTTATTCTGAGTATTGAGTACCAAATATTTTACTCAAATACTAACCTTTTTTGGGTAATAAAGAACTTAATTATTACTTTAGTTGATGTCGAAAGATTAACTGAAGTTGTGATTGAATTACCAATTCAATACAGTTATTAAATTTGAGAAAAATTCATGGTACTCGGTACTCAGAGGAGCATTTGCCACCTCTGGTCTAAAGCACACACGCCATTTTTTTTTTTTTTTTTTAATGGGTTTTGTTTTTGGAGTTTTTAGTATAGAATAGAATAGAAAATTGAACTTTATTCTGGGACTAAGTCTTCTTAGAATAACAATGATGAATTAATACAAAATAAAATACAAATCTGGCCAAAAACTAACTTATAAAATTCATTAACATTATTTAAAAAATAGTATGTAACCACTAGGAAATTAACAAAAAATTAACAAATATATATATATATATAAATGAACATAAAATCTTCTCTAAATTACTTATTATCGTGATGAAAAAAAAAAAAAGAAAAGAAATCTCATTTCGTCGACTTGAGGTCACTATGATCGAGAGAGGAGGAGTTTATATTATTTATCGATGGTGTTTTTGATCGGCAAGCCACATCATCGTTAATTCTTCACCAAATCTCAAGATTGAGACAACAATTTCGAAGGCCTCCTTCTCCTTCAGGCGGGCAGAATAGTCCAATCACTCCGAAAATTCAAACAAATTATGAAAGGAAACAAACTTTATTTGTGAATAACTAAAAAATTACACACTTTTCCCTTGGTTATGCCCGTAATTATCGGACAATCGGACAATTTTTAGCAAAGATACAGAAATATGTAAACATGTTGATTCCAAACGAAAATGATGATTTAAATAAATTTTTGTTCTATTTGTCGATTATATTTATCGATAAAGTAACATTTGATTTCTTTATCTTTTGATACGAAGCATTATTTTATTTTCTTATTAATCTGGCATTTGATAACAATATGCTGTGCGAATTTTTCGCACGGGCCTACTAGTAGTTAAAAATTATAAATCTTTGGTTATGATATTCTTAATTCATTACCACCACGTACATATATCAGTTGTTTAATAATAAAATTGTATAATCATGTGACTCATTTTTTTTTTCAAAATCATTATTTTATTTCCCCTGGTGTTGTTAAAGTAGTTACTATAAAAAGTAGTTCAATAGAAAAATATAGATATCGATGTCTACATACGTCTCTGAAACCGGAGTTCTCGATATAAAAATGACCGAAGCCGGGAACGGACTGCTGGTGATGTACTTCTTCGCTACGTGGTCCGTACCCTGCCACGACATGAACCCGATCTACGAGGACCTGGCCGAGAAGCACAGGAACTGCAACTTCGTCAGGGTGGATATCGAGGAGGGGAGAGACCTTGCGGTTCAATTCCACATAACGATTGTACCTTCCTTCATCTTCTTCATTGGAGGGATGAAGCAGGAGGTTGTGGCAGGTGCGAGGCCTGAATTGATAGAGAAGATCATCGATGGATTCAATAAATCACTATGAAAAACATTTTTTTCATTTTTATTATTTATCATTATTATGTTTTCCCAGTCCGCTGGTGTTCCTCAAGGTAGTATCCTAGGCCCTATCCTCTATACAGTTTATACAGCTGACATCCCTACCTGTCCCAACACTGTCATCATCACATATGCCGATGACACATGTATCCTATCAGTAAATAATGACCCAGAAATTGCATCCCAAATGCTTCAATCACACATCATAAATCTAGAAGAATGGTGTCAAAACTGGAGAATTAAAATAAACTCCAATAAATCCCACCAAATTACCTTTACACTTCGTCGTAAACCAACGACTTCCTGTCCTACAGTTTCCTTTAACAATACTCCACTTATTCCTGTTGAGCAAATCCGATACCTAGGACTCCACCTGGACCAACCACTAACTTGGAATCCTCATATTAGACTGAAACGACAAGAAACCGCTTGACGTTTCCGATTACTTCAGCACGTACTAGACAAACGCTCTAAACTTCCCATTAATTACTGTAGTATGAGTCTAGTATGAGGATTCCAAGTTAGTGGTTTGTCCAGGTGGAATCCTAGGTATCGGATTCGCTCAACAGGGATAAGTGGAGTATTGTTAAAGGAAACTGCAGGACAGGAAGTTGTTGGTTTACGACGAAGGGTAAAGGTAATTTGGTGGGATTTATTGGAGTTTATTTTAATTCTCCAGTTTTGACACCATTCTTCTAGATTTATGATGTGTGATTGAAGCATTTGGGATGCAGTTGCTGGGTCATTATTTACTAATAGGATACATGTGTCATCGGCACATGTGGTGATGACAGTGTTGGGATAGGTAGGGATGTCAGCTGTATAAACTGTATAGAGGATAGGGCCTAGGATACTACCTTGAGGAACACCAGCAGACTGGGAAAAAAGAGATGAATAGGCGTTTTTGTGATTTACTTTAAAGTATCTATCAGTAAGGTAGGAACGGATAATGAGGAAGTATGTAGGTGGTAGGAATTTTCGGAGTTTGTATAGTAGTCCCGTGATATTGGTAAATAAATTTTCTACATCAAAACAAATCAAACAATATTTACCTATTGTATATTTTATTTATTCTTTCAAGCATTTGATCCACCTCCATTGAGTGTTTTACATCATTGTTACTATCTGATTTTAGGTTATTGAGTGTGGGATTGAGATATTTAGCCAAGTTTTTTTAATTTCCTCCTTCTACTACCTCCTTCTGGAACTCCTTACCCATCTCCATACGTCAAAACACGTCCATAAACTCTTCAAACTCCTATTCCACCACCTGCTACAAATTTCCGCAAGCTTGTAAAAATTTCTGGTTTATATAATTACGTTGGTTACCAGCAGTTAATCGAAAGGAACCATTTTATTTTTATTTATTTATTTTAATTCCAGATGGAAAATCCTTAAAAACCTCTCTGAGATAAAATCAAAAACCTGCATCCTACCCTATTTTTTCAGACCAACTGAATTGAGACCTTAACGATCCTGACTCATTACCACATTCGTCATCATACTATATTCCTAAAGCTTCCTTTGACTCTGAAAATTTCTATTTTACAAATATTTTACCAGAAGACCTACTTTCTTCTATCCGAACATCCAGAACAAACGATTATGGCCCGGACCTAATTCTGTGAAGTTAATCAAATTATGTCTACCTGTCACCTTTGTCCTAATGCATATTTCCAATTTTTCCTAACAAAATTCCAGTTTCCCGTCACCGTGGAAAAAAGTTACTGTCCGCCGAAAAAGTTACGGATCCCTCCAAAGTTACCGATTTCCGATTTCAGAACCACCTCCATTCTCTCCAATCTTTTAAAGGTTCTTGAAAGAACAGTCACGAAGAAAGAACAGTCAAGAACTCACAACTTAATACCTTCCTTGAGCAAAAAGCTCTCCTCAATCCCTTTCAATCTGGTTTCCGATCCCAGTTATCCACCCAATCCGCTTTGCTGAAAATGTCCCAGGACCTTCATTTCTCTATAGGTAAATAGACAATCTCGATCCTAGTCCTCTTTGATTTTTCAAATGCTTTCGATTCCGTAAATTACGAAATCCTCCTTGCAAAACTCCGAAACCTTCAAAAAACCAAAACCATATCAAATAGTGCTCTAAACTGGTTCCATCCTTTTTTTTTTGTATCAAAAATTCCAAACAGTCACCATTCCCAATAAAACTCCTTCCTCCCCTCTCTTACTAATTTCTGGTGTTCCTCAGGGATATTCGCTCTCCCTAACTTTTTTCTCCATCCATACCAATGACCTTCCTGATTCCACCCATCACTCACAACACCATTTATATTTGGACGATCTCCAAATCTACCTTTCCTTCCATCCTACCGATATACTTGAGGTAATCCGAAGACTAAAAGAAGATATAGACATTATTAATACCAGGGCAGCGAACAATGATTTAAAATTGAATGTTATGAAGATCAAAGGTATTCTCCAAAAAAAAAAAAAATCAATCTGGGGGAGGGAACTCGAGGAAGGAGCCCGAAAGTTCTCTCCCGTAGATTATGCAGTACTCATTTAAATATATAACTAATCGCACAAAAATAAACTCAATTAAAAGTTAAGTATTGAATCAGGTTGTCTTCCTTACAAGCTATCGATAAAGATAGATCGATAAAACATATATTTTATAGCTAATCGAAAAAAAAAACTTTAACGTTTGCACTTAAATAACTACCTCCTCCTGCTTTTCTCTCTGAAATAGAAAGTTCGATAGAACTTGTCTGAGGAAGTTTAAATAAAGAATCGATTTTTGGAACAAATGTAGCATGGAACCTAAGATGCTACGAGTGGAAATTGCAATTACCGATAGAAGATGCTGAAGAGAGATACCCCGCTGTATCGGGGAAGCTATCCCCTTCTATTCCTGGGAGCTAATGGCCCATCCTGGGAGAAGACAGGAGGAGGGGAGGCTTTTAGCCGTTGAGGAAATGGACAAATGCTGGAAAGCAGCCGCTCTTTTCCGATACCAATCCTCCGCTTATTGGCCCAGAACAGGAGCTGCTAGTCTTCTTTAACGCTGATGGAATCGTGTAGCCGACCAGTTAAGCTTCTTATTCGAGAAGGAATTTGTTCATTTCCTCTCACTTACCAAAATTAAATAAATAAATCTATAATAAAGTATATAAAATAATCTCAATATAAAATAATCGTTTCGAAATTATCTATATTTAATAGACAATACAAATATTTTTTTTTATATTTCAGAATGGGCAGACAGCCATCGAACCAAATTCGATCGTTGATGTCTGAAACGTAAAACGCGAGTGAGAAATACTAAAACAGTTTAATAATCATTTCTGTATCCCGGAGGTAAAAAACAACATGTACATTTTGCTTTCTCACTACCGAATATAGCAAAGCATTTTATTATTGCGAGAGGTTAAAAAATTTTATGTGCTTAGAATCGAAAATTTCCACTCGCGTTCTACAGTTAACGAATCGGAGACAGTGGAGACTTTATGAATAATGGGTTTATTCATAATGTTACAAATGGCATCTAAAATATAATATAAGTAATATAGTATGGATATATGGGTTGACTACATCAGTTCACTCCAGGTCCCCTACAGTGAAGAGTCTGACTCAAGAATGATACTGTATTAGTGGTTTGGTCTTTGCAGGATAGGGTTATATGCTCAGAAATAGTAGGGGGGATGAATCAATTCTGGACGGTCTAGAAGCGTGTGAATGAAGTTAAGAATTGATATCCTTATCTTTTAGAATTAATTTTAAGTCTGTGAGAAAGTGCTCGTTTGTTGAAAACGGTTATTGTTCCCTAAGTCTTGATAAGTGTCTTCTGTCCAGTCAGTACATTCTAGATAACTATTTCTAAGCTAAAGACTAACATGGAACCCACATACCAGACTTAAAAGACAAGAGCTTAACCGACGACTTGGCCAGTTATATAGACTACTTAACAGAAAATCTAACCTCTCAATTGAAAACAAACTATTAATATACAAGACCATACTGAAACCCATCTGGACCTACGGACTTGAACTGTGGGGGACAACTAAATTATCGAACATCAAACGCATCCAATCCTTCCAGTCTAAAATCCTCCGTATAACTGTCAATGCTCCTTATTATGTTACGAACAAAACCCTACTTCATGACCTTAACATCCCTTATGTCCTTGACGTTATTCCATCCCGATTTTCAAATTTTCATCAGAACCTAACCTATCATCCTAATCCATTAGCACAATCCTTATCCAGTTCCAGTCATCCCTACAATCCTCCTCGAAGGTCGAAGCGAAGGTCGAAGCTCGAGATCTTTTGTAAAAACGTCATTGGAGTCCTGGCAATGGCCAGCTTCTCCACTCAAGTCATGAGCGTATGTGGCTTTAGTGCCCTCTCTCAGTCTCCACTGGATTCCCATCCTAGTGATGCGGCTGAGAGAGAAGCGCTGGGATCTCTTGGAGTCTTGAGTGGGGGAAAAGGTCCGACTCGGAGCTCCCTCGGCTGACTGTAAATATTGTAAATATGTTTGAATGTGTTTTTATTTATTATTATTTTTTATTTTTTTATATTTTTTTTTATTACTTTTTATTTTATTTTAGTTTTTATCTAATGTTGTATTATGTTTGATTGATTCTGTTACTCCAAGTTTTATTTTATTTTATTTTCTTATAATCCTGTTGTTCTTTTATTGTATATATGGTATGATTGTACTTCATTCATCATAAATACTCAATGCCCTTAATTGAGGCAAAATGTATTTTTTTCTCAATAAAAATTGTTCATCAAAAAAAAAAAAATTTCTAAGCTATCAGAGATAGTTTGACCTGGCTATCTAGGGCTTTAAGATTGGCATATTAAATATTAAGTTATATATTAATAGAAGTTGAATTAATATTATCATTATTAATATTTGTTATGGATTAAGTCCATTCCATAACTTATGCTTAGACGTCATGGATCAAATTTGGTACGGTAGTCAAATCGATGTAACGGGCATATAACCTATTACCGTTTACCCGATTTTCATGAAATGTTAAGAGATTGTGCGGATTGGTGCCTAGAAGGTCCCATATCAATTTTATCAAATTCTATTTAGCACTTCCGCTTACGCACGCGAAACAGTATTTTTTTTTTTTTAGATATTCAACCATTTTAGAACCGGCTTGTACGATTTGGCTCAAACTTGGATAAAATTTAGATATTGGTAAAATAATTTAATTTAATGTCAATTTAATTGAATTTTGTCCATTACTTTCTCTTATATATGTGCAAATATGTTTTCCTGACTACACCTATATCTCTAAAACTTCGATTTAGCTGAAATTTATATGAAATTTATGGAATGGTAAACAGATAATCAAGTATGTATCAAACGTCAAATTGTATCAAATTATATTAACTACTCCAATATAAAAAAAAAAACTTCTGCTTTCAGATCACGAAATATATTATTTATTATGCTTATAGTTTAAAAACGAAGCATTCGATTCTACCCAAAGTTGGAAGAAATTTGGAGAATAGTGTAGAAATTACTTAATATCAATTTCATTGGATTCCAGTTAATAATTAAAATTAATATACATAATTGTTAACAATACAATGGCTGTGAAATGTGGAAGGCATTGATCATATGAAGTAGCAATTAGTTTAATACAATATTTTTATGGGGTTATAAAATTTTAGTTTTTATACTAAAATTTAATTTATACTGTATTGTTTGGTCGATTCCAAACGTTACTGGTACGACACTTACTACCGTTCGTGTAATTTTCAGTTAATTTATAGTAATTTTTACTCTTAGTTTCTAAAAAAAAGTCTTATTTGTGAATGTGGTTATTTCTATTGATGATCAACGAGCTCGTCGTTGAATTGATTTTCTACTTAAATATCGAAGTTGTGTGAATTTCACACGTATTTTTATATTCCAGCTAAATTCGTTTTGTTCTTACTGAGAAAAAGCTTTTGTCTCGTTAACTCCGAACAAACAAAGAGATAAATTTTATCTATGGATTTTCTTGTTCCACCCATTTTAAGAGTGACAACATACTTATTAAGTATATATCACTAATATTAGTGCAAAAGGTGATATGTAAAATTTTTCAACTATTATTCTATTTGTGCTAAAGGTGACAGATTGTAGTCTACAACAGATATAAGTAGTCTACTACGATGGGAAAAACAGATGGCAATAAAATATAAAACTATACTAATAAATCGTAAAGAAAAATTATTTTTTTTTAACAGTAGCTACTTTAAAATTAGTTACTAACAGTAGCGATAGGCATGTTAGTATGAACTAGATTTTTTTTTTTAAAATAACATATCATCAAATATGGAATCTTCAAATTCGGAACACTTTCACAGTTTATCATTCGCTGATAAACAAAACTCGTGGATATCAAACCAGTACATTTCGAGGGATTAATGAATTCCCGAAAGCGGCTGCTCCGGGAGATTTTATTCTCATACGAAAAATATTAGAACTTGTAATACTGATGTTTTTTATCCAATGAAAACGGCGAGGAAGCTATACTGACTTTATTTGCCAGACATTTTTGTATTTGTTCAGAGGAGATTCAAGCTATAAAAATTTGTTGCTTGGTTACCAAATCAGTACCCCAGAAGTAAAGGAAACTATGTCTAACTATATTTTTTTAATTCTTCAGAGAGCCAATGTTCCATAACTTTGAGCTTTTAAAGTTTGTTTCTTACTTAATAAATTGTTTAATAAAAAAATGGACTTGTGTTCTTTACATGCGGGGAACAGCTTTATTTATTTTAATTTTATAAAAATAAAATGAAAAAAGAATATATAAATGTACCGTTGTATACGTGCTACGCTAATTCAACTGAATTTTTATTTTTCAAGTCGCGTTTGCTACTGGAGTAGGAATGGTTTGTAGCCTACTTCAAAGCCGAGCAGCTTTTAATATTTCTTATTCCTTTGTGGTGTTGGCAGGTAGAATACTATGTTGAAAAGAAAAAAAATCTAATAAGTGATTTTCAATTTCAGAAGAAGTAAAACGAAAAATTAATATTTATAAATTCAACATAATTTTTGGTTTATTATTTTCGATAATAAACCAAAAATTACGTTAAATTATAAACATTGGTAGTTTTATAATGATTTTATTGAGTACTAACAATGTCAGCCTGACCGAAGTTTATTGGAACTACGGCTGTAGTATTCATTCCAGTATTGTCTAAAATTGGTCTTGGTCTTGCACATTGCAAGATCAAGACCAAGGCCACCTAACTGTTGCAAGACCAAGACCAGAATTGGCAAAAAAAAATTCTTTTTTATTAAAATTAAGGAAAAATTAGATGTTACTAATTAGTGTTTAACTCTTCTAATTTTTCATTTGGGTTTAGTTAGGTTTCTCCTATCCAAAACATTACAGTAATATCGCTATAGTAATAAGCTGATAAGTAACTGCAAGACTGTTGAGAAACTCTTGCGCAATACCAATACCATGGCCAAGACTGAGTTTGCAAGGCCAAGACTCTTCTCGGTCTCGTATTTGCGCAACACTAATTCATTCACACAATATGTACATAAGAAATGAAAATAAATATAAATAACGAAAAAAACAAAACAAAAACTAAGCTGTCTGCTGTAGACCACACGATAGAAGTGGTCTCATCTCTATCATTTATTATTTAAATGAAATAATAATAATAATAATAATAATAAAAGGCTTAGCGAACCCGAAGGTTCGATGCCGACACCACCAATCGCTTATTACAAACCTCCCTCCACCGTTCGCCGTCCAAACCCAGTCCCTTCAGATCGGCTTTAATGCAATCTTCCCACCTTCGCTTCGGTCTGTCCCTCGGACGCTTACCATTCGGCACAACAAATATTAACCTTTTAGGAATTCTCTCGTTATTAAGTCCAACAACTTTACAAGCCCATTTGATTCGCCGCGATGAAATTATCTCAATTATATTACTCGGATACAGTTCACGCAATTCGGCGTTGTGTAACCGTCTGAACTCTCCGGTTAACTCATTCTTCTTCGGTCCAAATATTCTACGCAACACTTTATTTTCAAAAACCTTAGGACGCTGCTCATCCCTTAATGTAAGCGGCCAAATTTCGCACCCATAAAGAACTGTAGGCAAGATAATTGTTTTATAGATTCTAATTTTTAAGTTTCGGGACAAGAGGCGCGAACTAAGTAGTTTTGTCACAGAAAAATAACAAGCATTTCCCGCCTTCAGTCTAACCTTAATCTCTTCTTCAATTTCGTTTTTTCTAGTTATTGTAGAACCTAGATACCTAAACTTATCTACCTGTTCAAACATATTACCATCTATATCGATATCACCAGTAGTATCGCCATTTTTGCAGCTAACCATATATTTTGTTTTATCCAAGTTTATTTCTAGTCCTAGTTCTTTATCGGCTTTCATTAGTTTTATAGTTTAGCACGGATGTTGTCCTACCCAGATCCAATCCTTTCTCGGTACGCATTACCTCCCTAATGGCATATTCTAATGCCAAATTGAACAGGACAGGCGATTTAAATGAAATATAAATTATAAATGATAGAGATAAATGATCATTATAAAAAGGGTCAAATGCTGAACATTTTCCTCGCTTACAGTATGCAGGTCCAATTTTTAACTTCTGAGATATTTTAATCCATATCTTCTATCAAACTCTTTAATTTGGACATGCGGTTCTATTGTATCGCAGTATTTTTCAATTATCTCGATTACATCTTTCCAGTTGATATTGGTAAATAAATTTTCTACATCAAAACAGATCAAACAATATTTTCCTATTGTATATTTTATTTATTCTTTTAAGCATTTGATCCACCTCCACTGAGTGTTTTACATCATTGTTACTATCTGATTTTAGGTTATTGTGTGTGGGATTGAGATATTTTTCCAACTTTTTTTAGTTTCCTCATTTATATTAATGAAACCACTTCCTTCAGTACATCCTTCGTCATTCGTGCTACCTCCTTCTGGAACTCCTTAGCAATCTCCATACGTCAAACCACGTCCATAAACTCTTCAAACAACTCCTATTCCACCACCTACTACAAACTTGCGCAAGCTTGTAAAAGTTTCTGGTTTATATAATTACGTTGGTTACCAGCAGTTAATTGATAGGAACCATTTTATTTTTATTTATTCACTTTTTTTTTTCTCTTTCAGTATTTCTTGTATATATTTGCGTTTTCCTTAGTATGTTTTGCAGATATTTATTTTTTCCTTTGTATTTTTTGTATAAGTTGTATTTTTCTTATTATCTTTATGTATATACATATACAATTTCCTTAGTATTTTTGTATATATTTGTATGATACCTACATGTTAGACTAATGTAGATATTTTTTAACTCTATTATTATTCTAAGAGTCCCAGAACAAAATTATTTTCATTCCATTGTTTGAATTTAAGGGTCTGTGCAGGGAGAATTATGAATTTATTTAAGATTTCAGTTAGCTTGGGCTTCAGGTACACAGCCTGATATTGTTTTATCAACATGAACAAGACACTTATACAATTCTACCCTTACAATAATATTATAATAAAAAAAAATCATAATTAAAAGAAAATGTTTCATTTAATTGTGATTAACAGCTTCAAATCCAAGAAGTATCTCGTTGAGTAAGGCATGGTTGGCACCAATGACGACTTCGTATTTCTTCTCCTCGACGATGAAGACGAAGGTGGGTACTATCGATATCTGGTATCGCCTCGCCAGTTCTTCGCAGGCATCGATGTCCACCCTGAGGAAGGAGTGCTTGCTGTAAGTGTGCGCCAGTTCCTCGTAAATCGGGTGCATGTAGTTGCAAGGGACGGACCATCGGGCGAAGAAGTGGACAACCGTCAAACCTTGTCCGATCAGTGTCAGCTTGATATTGAATACCCCTACGTCACTAATGTAATGAGACATTTTCACAAAATATGATAGGTATCTTAATATAGTTCTTGTTTAAAAATTATACTATAAAAAGTACTATTTAAAAAAATGCATATGACTGTATCAGTATAATAATAATTGCACATATGGTAAATTTCATAATATAATAAAATATTTTACTTCTTTTGGTTTATTATTAACAATAATAGGATGATTTTTTCAAATCGATATTGCGAAAAGCCCATTCGTTTCAAAATGGCGACTGATAAACCTGTACTGCTACAGATCCCCTTGAAGTTTTTATTTTTTATGAGGAGTTGATCGGCGGGTGCGGTGAAATAAATACTAACCTATAGAAATAGTATTATTTACTTTTTTTTTCCGACGTTTCAATCCACTTTGCAGGTCTTCATCAGGGCTACAGAAGATACAAAATATAAAAGGTACATGGTGAAAATAAGTAGATAAAAAATAAGAAGAAGTTGTCTGATAAAGAAATAAAATCTAACATAATAAACTAAAAATTTCACTCTAATAATAGGATCTGAAATCAATCCGGATAGTAGAAAAATTCCAATATTTCGGCTCCAAAATAACATCATTAAATGACCAACGGTCAGAAATTGACCAACGTATAACTAGCGCAAACAGAGCTTTCAAAGTTATTTAAATTTCGAAAAATTGCAAAAAAAAAAACCACTCAAATTAAGAGTAAGGGCAAAATATCTACATAATCTATAATTCTTTTTTTTTTTATTTATTTATTTTAAATGATATTTACAACTGTATACAAAAAAATACATCTAGTAAATTTGCACATTGGTATTGCACATGGAACACATGTTGAGAAACTACCCATTGGTAGCACTCTAATAATATGTCTATATTAGAAGATCACGTGGCCATCATCTTTTCAGACGCCTCGGAGGGTTATCAGGAATCGAATAGGAAGCAAGGTTAGAGACAAGAGGGTTGGGATGGTTATGAAGTTTATTATGGAAGGACAGATATCTGGATTGGGCCAAATCTGATACATAAGGAACATTAAGGTCATTATGGATAATTTTATTTGTAACAAAGTAAGGAGCATTGAGGATTTTACGAAGGATTTTGGATTGCAAGGACTGTATGCGAGAGGAATTTGAAGGCTTGGTGGAGCCCCATAGCTCAACCCCGTAAGTCCAAATAGGCCTTATTATAGTCATGTAAATCAGTCTTTTATAATTGATTGGAAGGTTAGAGCGTTTGTCCAGTAAGTGTTGAAGTAGTCGGAAACGTCGAGCGGTTTCTTGTCGTTTCAGTCTGGTATGAGGATTCCAAGTTAGACGTTTGTCCAGATGGAGTCCTAGGTAATCTATAATTCTAACAGCAAAAAAAAAAACGTTTCTGTTCTAGTTTCTTACGTTTCAGAAAATAGAACAGTTTCTCAACTACAGTCTTAGTCTTGCACCTTTCGTTGTTATGAATTATTTACGTTATATAAAATAAATAAGATCTATTTATTTCTTCTAAATACTTTATTAATTAAATGCAAACATCAACATTCATAGAAAATGCTGTTCAAAGTGATTTACTTGAGCATTAAGACGCATCTTTCTTCAACAGCAGCAGTGGCAGAACGGCACTGGATATGTGTTATTGTTTCTTAAGATTCAATTATTCTACTTAGTAAGGAATTAAGATCATTGACCTGACTTCCTCAATCATATCCTATATTCCATATCCCAATCAATGGATTGACCGTGCAGGATCAGTGGCTTGGCCTGCACGCTCTCCACTAAAACCACAGGACTTTTTTGTTTGGGGCGACATTAAACAAAAAGTCTATGTAAGTCCTTAATTCCATACAAAGAAGGATAATTGAATCTTGTGAAACAATAACACATATCCAGAGCCGTTCTGCCACTGCTGCTGTTGAAGAAAGATGCGTCTTAATGCTCAATGAGATCTCTTTGAACAATATTTAATATGAATATTGATGTTTAAATTTATTTAATAAAGTAGTTAGAACAAGTAAGTAGGTTTTATTTATTTCAGACAACGTAAATAATTCATAACAAAGAAAATATTTAGGTGTAAATATCTCCCAAACAAAGCGTTTGCGGACATACCTTCAGAGGAAATTATTTTCTTGTTTTGAGGTCCTTAATATATTTTTACAGTTTGGCCAATTAATTATACTGTATATATATATAGAAATAGAAAATAACTTTATTCTGGGACAAAGTCCCTTTAGAATAATAAAATAGAACATAATTAAAATACTAAATCTGGCCAAAATAAAACAATAATGAAAAAGAGAAAGTAAAGAAAATATTAGTTAAACAAGCTATAAAAAAAAAATAAAAAAAATCTATACACAAACCACTTAAAACTATGATAAAACACTGAAGACTATGTACAGTAGGAAAAATTATAATTATACTCTTTTGAAATGAGGTGTGTTTCTGCTAAAAAAGAAAAGACAAAGCTGACAATATAAAATATCAGTGTCTTTAAATAATGATTAATATGTAGACTCATCATTTTCAAATGCTAGCTATAGGTACAGATTTAATTATATACCAATAAAAATAATAATAAAAAAAAAAACAGATGCGGTCAGTGGCATTTAGAGCAGGAAGATATTGTAATATCCCTAGTGAAGTTCACAGTATAGAATAGTACTATCGTTTGATAATGACTAAAAATGTATAATATCGAAAATTTAGCAAGTGTCTGACTGTTTTTGGGATAGGAATTGGAATTGGAGTGTTTTGAATGTGGATATGGAGGGGGCATGCCGAATTTTGATAGATAGAGAATTCCAGAAATAGACAGCGCGAGCTATAAAGGAATTCTGAAATGAGGCAGATCTGTGCGAAGGGATGTAGAGGTCAGAAGGTCGAGATCTTGTTGAAAGGGAATGGACTGAGGACTTGAATTGGAGAAGGTTGTAGGCGTAAGAAGGACGATGGTTGTTGATGATTTGATAGAGGAATGGCTCTAGGGAATATTGTCTTCGAATGGAGGAGAAGAGCCACTTTAACTCAGTGTAGTGGTGAGAGACATGGGAGTACTTCGTGGCATAGAAATATATATATATATATATATATATATATATATATATATATATATATATATATATATATATATATATATATATATCTTTTTTTTTTGGGATGTATCCTTTAGGAAAAGTTCTGGAAGAGAAATAAACAAATATACATATATTTATTTATTTATAAAATAACGAAAGTTGACTTCTATGAAATTATTCAAAACTCTGATAAGGACGAATTTCCATAATTCAGCGATAGTCCAATTTCTCTCCCCCCACCACCTACCAACCAGAGGCTAAGAAGTGAGGCTTCGAAGGCTTATCAATCAACATTCTATTCAGTTCTGATTGCGACTTGGTCGTCCTCCAATCATATTCTCTGGCTTGATATTCAATGTTTTGATTGGAGCCAGGGTTGTACTTTTTTATTATGTATTCTCCAATCACAGCTGATCTTTGTTATTGTTATGAGTTACTAGATTTAGAACAGAAAAAAAAACTTTGCTGATATGAATGATACGAATTCCTACTCGAATTTTAATTTACTGAACTTGGACATCTGGACATGACCGGGTGATATATGACATGACGTAGATGTGAAGATTAAAGATCTACTTTAATATTTTATGAAGTATTGGATTGTCCGGTAAATAATGCAGGTTTTTGAGTTTTTTTATAATATCTCTCTACATATCTCAAGCCGTCTCCACCTGGAATACCATCCCTCCCGATATCCGACATGCGCAATCAGTTTCCTCATTTAAATCTCTTCTTTTTTAGCACCTAATTCTTTCCCAACCCGAGTGATCATGAAAAGTAGATAAGAGAACTTTTTAAGATCCCTCAGAAATGGTTTTGTTTAATTATGTTATTTTATTTTCACATGTTTGTATTGTATATATCTTGTATGTATTTACCGTATATATATATATATATATATTGTATGTATTTAGTGGTTTTGTTTTATTTTTCTTCCAATATTTTTATTTTAATGAGCATTGTAAATATTTAATTTAATTTTAAGGCCACACAGGCATTTCCTCTGTATCTATAATTTGTCTTAAAGAAATAAAAGTCCCAGGATAATAAAAATATATTTTCATTTCATATCATTATATAACAAACTGTTTATCTTTACATTTGCATGAATTCAACACTTGTTAATCCTCTTCCAAATGATAATGTTTGTTTACATCTGCAGCATTTCGTTGCTTCTAAATAATTCAGTCTTTACTAAGATGTCAACGCGTGATTTTCGTAGATTTTTGTCTCACAGCCCAGACAGCCAAAAACATCAATCAAGTCTGGGGCGAGAGCAGCATTACCTAGGACTCCACCTCGACAAACGACTCACATGGAATCATCATACAAGACTGAAACGACAAGATACTGCTCGACGTTTCCGACTACTCCAACACTTACTAGACAAACGCTCTAAGCTTTCATTCAATTACAAACGACTCTTATATATGACTATAATAAGACCTATTTGGACTTACGGAATTGAGCTCTGGGGCTCCACTAAACCATCGAATTCCTCTCGTATCCAATCCTTACAATCCAAAATCCTTCGTAAAATTCTCAACGCTCCTTACTTTGTCACAAAAAAAATAATCCATAATGTTCCATATGTTTCCGATTTGGCCCAATCTAGATACCTATCCTTCCATAACAAACTGCAGAACCATCCGAACCCTCTTGTTTCAAACATTGCTTCCTCCTCTATCCCTGATAACCCTCCGAGGCGTCTGAAAGAAGATGGCCTCGGGATCTTCTAATATAGAACTTTAAGTTGAGTTCTACTAACGGGTAGTTTCTCTTCATATTTTACATGTCATGTTACCAATGTCACATTTACCTGTTGTATTTTTAATGTAATACAGTTGTAAATTACATTAAAATTAAAAAAAAAAATAATAAAAAAATGTGGGCGACCCAACGGTCTGAGCATCATTGATGTCAAAATTGCCTGAATGAAATTTGGCAAACCAATTTCGGCAGGTGCGTTCGGTTAAGGCATCATCCACATAAACATTTCATATTTTTCTATGAGCTTCTGCAGCACGCTTACCTTTTTTAAAATAATA